TGTGGTGAGTGGTACAAGCTCACCAACATGCCTACTTATCGTTGTTCCTGCCATGTCTGAATCTGTCATATCATTTGCCATGTTTGCATGGATGCTACCATCTTTTCTGTTGATCTTTGGAACAAGTTCAGTAAGGGAGTTTTGTTCTTTGTCTTTAATATTACCATGCCATGCCTTTGTTTGCCATGATAATTTCCTGTAGCATGTTGTTTGATAGCTCTAAACATTGCAACCTGATGTTATTTCTGTCATGCTCAGTGATTTCTGCCGTCTGTGAAACTATTATTATTTGCAATCTTGCCATGACCTTTTGAGCATGTTCTAGTGATTTCCGGAGATATCACAGTGTTCATGTTTTGTCATGCTTTACCTGTACTTCATGTCCATGCCTTTTGTTCTTATGTTGAGGTGCTATAGCATATTGTTTTGATGCTTGCTAGATGCCTAGTTGCTGTTTTGGACAACTTGTCCTTTAAACTTGTTTCATGTGTATGTGTTAAACCGTTGCTCCGTTTTGAGTGTGCTCTATATGAAACTTGCTTAGAATTGCATGTAGTTTCATATTATCATGTTGCATCCTTGTTTTGAGGTGTTTGCTTGATGTTTGGATGCATTTAGCATCAATGCCATGTTTAACTTGTTTTGCTCATATCTTCTAGGCCGTAGCTCCGAACTAAATGAACTTTATATGTAACTTGACTAGAATTTTGTGTAGATCCTCTTGGTGCTCTAACTTGCTGTTTAACAACTTCAACTTAATGTTTGTTCAGGCCAGGACCAACTTCGAAACTTGCATATGAGGACTTACCGGAATTGTTATATGTTGTTTCCGGCCTCATTTAAACTTGTTTGGCTATGTTGTTCTTGTATGCATCATCTCTTGCCATGAGTAGCTTCATGTAGCCTTGTCATGCATCATACTTGGTTGAGCATCATGTCTTGTCTATGTGTTGTGTGTTTACCTTGTTGTTTGCTTCTTTTCCGGTTGTGCTCCTTCTCGTTAGTTCATGTTTCGTTGCGATCGTGAGGATTCGTTCGTCTACGCTTGGTTCGTCTTCGTGGCTTCATCTTCTTCACGGACTCGTTCTTCTTCCTTGCGGGATTTCAGGCAAGATGACCGTCACCTTGGATCTCAGTACTATCATTGCTATGCTAGTTGCTTCGTTCTATCGCTATGCTGCGCTACCTATCATTTGCTCTTCAAGCCTCCCAAATTGCCATGTCAGCCTCTAACCTTTTCACCCTTCCTAGCAAACCATTGCTTGGCTCTGTTACCGCTTTGCTCAGCCCCTCTTATAGCGTTGTTAGTTGTAGGTGAAGTTGAAGATTGCTCCGTGATGGACATGATTATGTTGGGATATCACAATATCTCTTATTTAATTAATACATCTATATACTTGGTAAAGGGTGGAAGACTCGGTCTTATGCCTGGTGTTTTGTTCCACTCTTGCCGCCCTAGTTTCCGTCATACCGGGGGCTGCTATCAGATGGAAGCGTTCCTCCCGTGAATCGTTTTCCTCCTGTCCCTGGCGGCTGGAACCCTAGCCGCCGCTAGGAGACCCAATCTTTCAGCGCCGTCCTCCGGCGGCTCCCCTCCGCCGGCGACCTCGGTCGTCCGTGGTGAGGGGGGTCGCCGGATCCATGCGCGTGGATCGTTTTTACTCCCTCGTAGTTTAGATTTTTAAGCTGTTCATCGTCTTTGTTTCGGCGGCGACGATGACAACGCTGAATAAAGATTCTTCGGATCCTTCCCTAACAAGGCCATTGGTCCTATGGTTGGGGATGGATTTGGAAACCAGTCTGTTCAATCAAGGATGGCGTGGCGGTGGCGGCATCCTCGTGGTGGACCTGTGTCCTCGGGCTCCGCCGTTGCGCCGGTGTTTGCTCCAGCATCGGCGCGGAGCTTGGGAGGTAGTCCAGGAGCGAATGCAGATTGTGGTCTGCATCGACAACATCTGGAAGACGGAACATGTGCTGGGTTCGTGGTTCGTGGATGGCAGGTATGGTTTCCTTTCGCGACGTCTTAGTCGCCGTGGGGTGCCAGATCTGGAGTTCGATGGCGAGTTCGGGGTGTTGCCCCGGTCTGATTCGTTCAACGGTAAGGGCTTCACTTTTGGTGAGCCACCTTGGAGGTCCGCAAAGCTGCATATCAGGGATGGAGCCGCGTCGAGCTCGGGTGAGGAGGTGATCCATCATTCTTTTTTTCGGTGGCTGCTGTCGTGGTGCCGGAGGCAGGTGATGGGCGTTGGTGTCAAGCTCAGAGATGTTCTGCTATCTTTTCAGTTTTGTCATGTTGGTCCTTACGTGACTTGTACTTTAATCTTTATGATATGAATGAGACACGTATGCCATGCAAAAAAAAAGTTTCCGTCATACCGGTGTTAGGTTCCTTGATTTTGCGTTCTTTACGCAGTTGGGTGATTTATGGGACCCCCTTGACAGTTCGCTTTGAATAAAACTCCTCCAGCAAGGCCCAACCTTGGTTTTACCATTTGCCTACCTAAGCCTTTTTCCCTTGGGTTTCCGGAGCCCGAGGGTCATCTTTATTTACCCCCCCGGGCCAGTGCTCCTCCGAGTGTTGGTCCAAACTAGAGCATCGTGCAGGACCGTCCCTTGGTGACTTGGGTTACGTTGGTACCTGTACGCTTCGTTTATCCGGTGTGCCCTGAGAACGAGATATGTGCATCTCCTATCGGGATTTGTCGGCACATCGGGCGGTTTTACTGGTCTTGTTTTACCATTGTCGAAATGTCTTGTAAACCGGGATTCCGAGACTGATCGGGTCTTCCTGGGAGTTCGTTGACAGTGAGAGCTTGTGATGGGCTAAGTTGGGACACCCATGCAGGGTATAAACTTTCGTGAGCCGTGCCCGCGGTTATGTGGCAGATGGGAATTTGTTAATATCCGGTTGTAGAGAACTTGACACTTGACTTAATTAAAACGCATCAACCGCGTGTATAGCCTTGATGGTCTCTTTTCGGCGGAGTCCGGAAAGTGAACACGGTTTTGGGTTATGTTTGACGTAAGTAGGAGTCCAGGATCACCTCTTGATCATTGCTAGCTTCATGACCGTTCCGTTGTTTCTCTTCTCGCTCTCATTTGCGTATGTTAGCCACCATATATGCTTAGTCGCTGCTGCAACCTCACCACTTTACCCCTTCCTTACCCATTAAGCTTTGCTAGTCTTGATACCCATGGTAATGGGATTGCTGAGTCCTCGTGGCTCACAGATTACTACAACAACAGTTGCAGGTACAGGTATTGCGATGATCATGACGCGAGAGCGATGTTTACTTGTTTTGGAGTTCTTCTTCTACTTCTTCTTCGATCAGGGGATAGGTTCCAGGTCGGCAGCCTGGGCTAGCAGGGTGGATGTGGTTTGAGTTTCTGTTTGTGTTTCATCCGTAGTCAGATGATGCTCTTATGTATTATATTGTTGTACTCTTGCGGCATTTGTATGCCTTGTATGTATCCCCATCTATTATGTAATGGTACGATGTAATGATATCCATCTTGCAAAAGCGTCTCCAATATGCGCTTCTATCCTTGGTGGGACCTTCGAGTTCCTTTAGGATAGGGACGCATATTGGGCGTGACACAGCGTTTGTCCCTATGTACTTGAGGCAGCCAAATGCCGCTGATACAGAAAGGTTGTTGGCGACCAACGCAGCTAGAGGCTTTCCAGGCATGCTTGGCAGCATAGATTGTATGCACTGGGAGTGGAAGAACTATCCATTTGCTTGGCAGGGCCAGTACAAGGGGCATGTTAAAAAGCATGCACGTCATATTAGAAGCGGTGGCTTCGCAAGATCTTTCGATATGACATTCTTTCTTTGGCTTGGCAGGTTCTCACAATGACATCAATGTGCTGCAGCGTTTTCCAGTCTCCGCAAGGCTTGTAGAAGGCCACTCCCCACCCGTCAATTTTGAGATCAACGACCATCAGTACAACAAGGGATACTACCTAGCTGATGATATATATATCCTCAGTGGTCAACTTTTGTGAAGACAATCTCGAACCCCCAAGGTGAGAAGAGAAAGAAATTTGTCCAAATGCAAGGGAGTGCTAGAAAGGATGTGGAACGTGCTTTTAGTGTGCTTCAATCCCGATGGGGTATCATTCGAAACCCTGCACTGACATGGGATGAAGGAAAACTTTGGGAGGTAATGACTGCTTGTGTGATCATGCACAACATGATCGTCGAGGACGAGCATGATAAAAACATCTTCGACCAAGGATTTGATTTTCAAGGTGAAAATGTTGAGCCCTTGCACCAAGAACCGATCACGTTTGAACAGTTTGCCCAATTTCATCATGAACTACGTGATTGGCACACTCATTTAGATATTCAAAATGACTTGGTTGAGCACATGTGGAATCATATTGGCAACCAATAAACGTATTGGTTCATTATATGTTCATTCAAGACACTTTCGATTTGGTTGTAAAACTATTTTATTAGAGACAATTTCGATTGGGTTGTAAAACTATTTTTATTTCCAGACAATTAATATTTGAACATGCAAACTAGTTTTGAACATTGAAATATGAATATATGGGCATTTTTTGCCGTGGCGGACAGGATGGAGCCAAAGGATGCGTCCGCGCGTTGGGTACACGGCCACCGCATCTCAGGACAACCCCGGACACGATCATATTGCCCTATTCAAATGGACAGAATCCGGACAAAACGGACGTCCGTTTGTAATCGTGCGCTGGAGTTGGCCTGGCAAACTGAGCCCAAGATGGCCTTTTTTTTAGGGAAAGCCCAAGATGGCCTAAGAGAGGCTTCGTTACCGGCGGGCCGGGATCGAAGCAAACAGTCTCCAAATCCGACGGGCCCGCCAAGAAATTGGTTGTAAATAAACTTATACCATACCCTAGATTCTCTTCTTTGTCCTCTCATCCGCCGTGCCTGACCGCCGCCGCAATCGTCCCCAACGCCGATCTGGCTGGACCCTCGCCATATTAGCCGTCCCCGACCTCGCCGTGGCCAGTCATGGCCGGATCCTCCCCGCCTAACCGTACCCGAGCTCGCCGTGGCTCGATCTCGCCCGACGAAGTGAGGCGACGGTATGAACCGACCGGCAGAGGGAGGAAGGGAGGTACCTGCGGTGGTGGCGGCGGCGCCCGGCGACCATCTGGTTCTGATTCGGCCGCGTCCGGCTCCTATTCAATGTCAGGTAGATCTGATTCGATCGCGTCCGACACGGAATCCGGGTCAGGTACGCAATCTTGCCTCCGAATTCGACTACAATTGGGCTCAAGCCCCAAGCACAACAAAAGATCCAGTCTTTAGGCCTCTATATATACTGCTTGCAGACAGAGGGAGCAGCAGATCGAAAAAAACCAGGATGTCTAAGCGGCTCCAGGGAGAGGAGATACAGGCAAACTGCGCCCGCAAAAGGTCACGACCTTCTGATCAGAAGCACCTCTATCTGGTGCTGGATGACTGGAAAGATGGGTTCAGCATTCACAAGATTGACGCCGACGACGATGACGCGGACCTTGGCCAGCCACCGGTCCTCCGGTTGGTGTCGCCGGCGCCTGGCTTTCCAATGCGCTTTGCGGTCGTGGGCAGCAACATCGTCATCGTCACCAACCCACGCTGTGGTCAGGCTCCCACACTTTTCTATGATACGAAAAGAACAGGACTCGCCGTCGGCCCTCCGCTCCCCGGTCCACTGGTGGGTGACTTCCACACCTCCGTGGCCACTGCGGATATGCTGTATGCGCTGAGTTTTCATCATAGGAATCAGCAGCACTCCTTTGAGGTGATGTCTTGGGAAGAATCTCCAAATCCTTGTACCATGAGCTGCTCATGGACAAGTGTGCCCTCACCACCCCCGTTCGAGGAGGATGAATGGATCACCTCCTACGCCGTGCACCCTGATGGACACACCATCTTCATGTCTGGGGTCAACAAGTACAATCTCAAACGTCGGACCTTCTCTTTTGACACCAAGTACTGTGAGTGGAGGTTTCATGGGGAATGGGCCTTGCCTTTCCAAGGCCAGGGCTACTATGACAACACGCTGGACGGATGGGTTGGCCTTCACGAGGATGGCTACATCTGCGCCTGCCAAGTCGCCCCCCGCAGCCGCGCAAGTACCATACAGCCCGAGTGGAAGGTTGTCAAGGGGAAGTTGTTCCACAAGGTCCCGGAGAGGAAACGAGCGGCCTCATATGCCACTCTAACATACATGGGCAATGCCAGATTTTGCCTTGTGGAGTGTGTGGTGCGTGAGGAAGTGGAGTATGAGGATGCCTTAGGTGATTGTGATGGTTGCATGCTCCTTATGACCAAGTTTGGCCTCAAGTACTCTCATAATGGAGAGTTGCAGACCATCAATCGCACCACCAACTCCTATGTGTTGTCGAAGCATATCACCGGGTTTTCTCCTGTAGCATTCTGGATGTAGGAACTAGCTGGCTGGCTTAGCTGTACGCAATGGATACTATGTCTGTTTCGAGTTTCTGGATGTATATTATGATTTGCATCAATAAAAAAATACTTCGTGGCAATCTTGTCGAACCAGTTTATCTTTATTTTTACATGTCTGTCCAGAAAACTCTGAGATATTGATAGGTTTCAGGAACTAAAACACATGCAAATCATACTAAATGTGGATGGCAGAATTCAAATATATTTTCATCAGCATATAAACAGCAAAAGTATTTCGTCGCTACAGAAAAGAAATAATAAGTTTACAAACCAACTTGGCCGGTAATTGTGTAGGTCTCTTCAGCTTGATACTTTGTTTCTCTCTAAAACAGATACAGTCTGATCATCTCTTCCAGAACAGGTCTGAAGATGATATTGCAGCTAGAGGTTCATTGTCTCCACCAACGAAGAATTTTGGTCGGTTTCCATCCACCTATGAAGCATGAGGTGTCTTTAATTAATCTCCTGCTCCAGGAATCCAGGTATGCCTTGCTTGGCGATTTAATTTGCTTCTGAGGCCTGATTCATAATTAGGTATATCCCTGCTGAGTATGTGTTCAGTTCAATTGCCGAAAAAGGGGAAAGTCTAAAGCATCACTTATTTTGGAACATAGGGGCTATATGGCACTTCATCTATCTCGTGATATTGTGGCTGACCTAGTTGTTTGTACATCCTTCATGTTGAATTTTTGAGACCATAAGTTGGTTGTGTTGGTTGTGTTGGCCTCAAATGGGGCAGAAAAAGGCAGATGCCGAGTCAAATTATTGGTGCTCGTGATTTTTCTTTACCAGTGACTCTGGTTACATCAAGTTTTTGGTGTTGTTGCGTCTAAAAAAGAAGTTTTTGGTGTGCAGCTTTTCTAGGTTGTTCTGAGTTCCTTGTAGCTCAAAATAATAAACCGATGTATTCGCCCCATCTTTCTTGTATTTTTTTCAATTTGAAGAGATGGAATATTTGCGTCCCTTGCAAACACTAATGCTTCTCACCCTTAATTACTACTCCCTCCGTTCCTAAATATTTGTCTTTCTAGAGATTTCAACAAGTGACAACATACGAAGCAAAATGAGTGAATCTACACTCTAGAATATGTCTATATACATCCGTATGTGGTAGTCCATTTAAAATCTCTAAAAAGACAAATATTTAGGAACGGAGGGAGTAGTATGCATGGTTGATGCTGATATGTATTCAGCTCAGGGTTTGATAGTGGCAGATTCTGACTATTCCATGTAATAGTAGGTAATGGGAATGCTTAGTTCTATAGCAGGGGTGACCCTATTCCAATGGGCAATTCGGGCAGATCCTACTGTTTGGACCAGTCCTACATTGAAGCCTTCCAGCTAGGATGATCATCTCCTACCCTTGGAGCTAGGCCTTTTGACCTTTTTAAAATTTACATGTTTAGCTCCTGCTGCTCTTGCTGCGATAACAAAATGGCACCATTTAGGACTCTGATGGTTGGTGCTTGAAAACTGAACATGTAGCAGTTAGGACTCAATTTCCAACCTGGTGGGTAGTAGTCAAATGCCACTTTTAGCTGCTCGCTCACTATTTATAGGATCTTAAATTCTTAATTGTTGGTTTCACAACTGAATATAATATTCCATACCATAACTGAGGAGCAGACTTTTAGAGTTGAGATTTCTACAGTAATGCTCTAATGGTCAGTTATTGATAATATTTTATTTAGTGTACCCGACGTACTTCTGCCTGAAAACTGAATGTTATGACCGAGTTTCCAAGCTGGTGGGCTGTAGTTAAGAGCATGGTTAACAGCATCTCCAACCGCGCCCCCAACAGGCCCCCCAGGACGACTTTTTTCGCACCGACGCTGAAAAAACTCCTAGTCGCGGCCCCAAGACGCCGAAATCCGCCGGCTCGGCCCGTTTTTAGGCCCGGCGATCCCAGGCTGAACCCAACGCACTGGAGGGCGCCCAGGGGCTCCGGCGGAAGGGAAAACCACGTCTG